TTGTGGGTCGTAGAAGTCACTCCCTCCGGCTGTTGTGGGTCTCCGTGGAGATGGCCTCGACTTCGGCCGGCTAGGATGTGTTTTGTTTTAACTGAGGTGTGAATTCCTCGGTGCAGCTGCAAGGCGCAATTTCCCATCCCCCTGTCTATGGCAACTCAGGAGCAGGTCAGGAAAGTTTCACAAGTTGACACTGTCTTCATTTTTATGTTGCAGTAGTTTCAACCAAAGAGGCTATAGTGAATGAGCAAACTTTCTTCCCCCATACTCAAACAATCAGGATCTATGCCTAAAATCACAGGAGTCTAGGAAGGAGATTACCCAGAGCCCCTCCCTTTGTCTACAGATAAAATAAGAAGTTCTCAGCTTTCTAACACATGGTGAAGTGTTATGCAACATGTAATAATCTTCAGAATTCCTAAATTAGATTCCTAAATACTAATGTAGATAATACTAAATTATTTGAAGTACATATATTTTAAATGGGTATTTTTAATGGAGGAAACTAATCATATGGGTTTTTTTTAATGATTTAATTTTCCTGGCAAATTGCAGAAACGTACCTTGTCTCATGTATAGAATTAATCCAAGTTACTTCAGTAGTTTTAAATTGAAGGGTTTCCCATTGCAGATGCTATCGTACTTATGGATCCTATTATTTTAAAAGAAGATTTGAGTGGGGAGTAGGGAGGCAATCAGAAACTTCTCATAGCTATTGAAACCATTTTTTCTGAAGCTACTGTACAGCTCACAGAGGTTAAGTATAATTCAGCCAAAGCCTCTTCGTTCCATCTTCAGAAATGCTATTCACAGAATGAATACAGCAAAATGGATATCTTTATATCATTTTAATGGAATAGGATTTAACAAGTTGCTCTGCATGAAATAGAATAAGATATAGAATTATTTTGACTGCCAGCCTAAGAGCCTTTGAACTGCATTTAGATATCATGGGATGTACTTGAACTTGTCTTCATCCAAGTTTAAAAATGACTGTGATCCTGGTTAAAGGGTATACAATTAATACCATTTGCTAATATTAAACAGAGAATACAGTCACATCAGCATTACAACAAGCAACTACTCACAACCTTTTTACAGTAGATGAGATTACATCTAAGCCTTGTCCAGATTGTTGTGACAGGACTAGAGAGAGAAATTTCATGTTTCTCTAAAATCCAAAATCACTTACCATATCTTGGGACTTCAGTAGTTGCAGGAGGCTGAATGTTTTAGCTATTTGAGGCTACAATGCTTTCCATTCCTAGCTTTATCATATGGGAAATATATAAATAAGAGAAAATGTGAAAGGGAAAAAAAGCAAGAATAAAATCATTTAATTTGGAAACCATGAGTGAATGGAAGAGATATTTGAATGTTCTACTCCAACATCAGCAAAAGCAATATCACTACTATAAAAGGAAGGCTGTTTTTAAAATTAAGGGACAAGAAACTAGTACAGTATATAAAAATGTTAGTGATTGATAACAGAATAAAGTATCCCATCCCAAATCTATTTAAGATTTATAAGCCTGTCATACTGAGGAAAGCTTTTAGAGCACTCCAGAGAATGGATGTTCATTTCTAATGGTTTATTTGCCACTTGGTTTCATCTTAAGGTGGAATTTTAAGACAAATTTAGGTATCTGTTTAGATCAAACATCTTTGTCTTTTATTAATATACTGTGAGCAGCATTTTCTAATCTATCAGTGCTGTAACTGTGACAATTAAAATTATTTGACCCTTCTATGCCTGATCGCTCAGCATCTTGCTTAATCAGGTAATACATTAAATAGTCAATTAACATAAATGCAACAATATTTGACTTCACAGCAGATTTACAGAGCCAGCCAAGTTTGATGTGACTTGACGTGATTAAAGCAAACCCAGATAGTATATCTGGAGGGATACAAGGAGTAAGCCATAACGTATATTTAATATCCTATTAATGTTAATTAGGCTTGCTTCACTTGTCTCATTTCCTATTGCATCCTTGTCCTGTAACTTGTCTTGTCCTTGATGAATGTTGGTGCTCAGAAATTAAAATCTCCCTATAGCTAGCACTTCTACTTTGATAAGGGAAAGAAAAAACCCTCTATTTATAATCCCTTCTGAATCTGTTTTGCAGTCTATAGTCTAGACAATAAGTATTTGGCTATTATTTGCAAAGGATCAATTTAGACATTTGTGCAGATTACCAATGATTAAAAAGAAAAAAAGAAAAAGAAAAGAAAAGCAGGCTTCATCCTTCCTTCCAGTTAAATGACCTTTCTGCCAATTATGTCAGGCTCAAGACTTGCTTCCAGAAAGCAAATAGTTTAGGAAAGGTTTTAAACATTTTCAGAATAAACAATAGGACCCGACTTTAACGGGGAGGAAAAATGACCACACTCTGATGGGAGATTAGTGATTGCTATACAGGTACTCCTCAATTAAAGACCAGAATTAGGACCAGAATTTCAATTGATGAGTAAGGCAGTTGTTAAATGAATTATGCCTGATTTTATGACCTTTTTTTGCCACAATCGTTAAGCAAATTACTGTGGTTGTTAAGTGAATTATGCTGCTGTTAAGCAAATCCAGCATCCCCCATTGACTTGTCAGAAAGGCTCTAAGAAGGTTTCAAATGCTGATTACATAAACCCAGGATCCTGCAACCATTATAAGTACATGCTGATTGCCAAGCGCCTGAATCTTGATCACATGACTATGGGGATGCTAGAATGGCCATAAGTGCAAAGACTAATAAGTCACTTTTTTGGGGGGGGGAGGGGTTGTAACTTTGAACAGTCATTAAATGAATGGTTGTAAATCGAGGACCAATTGTACCAAATTTGGAGGTTTCGTGGCTTCTCCAGAAAGCCTGTAATGCGAAAATACTACAACTAAGAAGTAAGGCTTGCACAGAATTTATCATATCTTTCTTCCTATGCAAAATCCAGTTAGGCACATCTGTGCAGAGAAATTAATGGACGGACATGTCAATTGCCATTTGGTCAGATAATCAGAGCCAAGACATCCTGAAATTATTTTCCTTTCCTCCCCACCCCCACCCCTTTTTTTTTTTTTTTTGCAAATCAGTTCAAATCAGTGTAACCATGCTAACATGTATTTTACTTTAGGCCACATACTTACTAAGAAGGAAAACATTTGGAAGAAAAGGGGGGGGGAGTTTGTCAACCATACAAAACATTTTCAGTTTTGCCCTAGGTTTATAGCAAGCAGAACAAATGAAACACAGTTGCAAGAAGAATGAATAGGTTCAAATTATTTGGAGGCAGGAGCAAAAGATTTTGTGAAATACAAAGCTTTGCCAACACAGATGGTCTGGCTTGATCATGGCAGAGACTGGATCTTTGGACAGCCTCTGCAGTAAGGGAGCTTTCCAGTATGTGCAAAGGATTGCATATAACTTTGTCTCTTGAAAGATTTGAAATAACATATACAGCTTCCTACACAACCTTGAAAACAGAGGTACCTTTTAAAATTATTCATTTCTACTGTTGTTGCTTAACCCATTTTGTAATTCTTGCATAGAGACAATTACTCTACTCAGCAACTGTTTATATGTCTTTGGGAGTTGTTGGAGGGGAAAGAAAATTAAGAAAGGAACATAAGAATTGGTCAGATACCGAAACTTGTTTAAGAATAGGGCAAATCAGTGGTGAAATCCAAATTTTGTTACTATCGGTTCTGTGGGTGTGGCTTGGTGGGTGTGGCAGGGGAAGGATATTACAAAATCTCCATTCCCTCCCCACTCCAGAGGGAAGGATATTGCAAAATCTCCATTGCCACCGCACTCTGGAGCCAGTGGTGGTATTTGCCGGTTCTCCGAACTACTCAAAATTTCTGCTCCAGAACCTGTCAGAACTTGCTGGATTTCATCCCTGGGGCAAATGTATAAAATACTTTATAAATTCGGAAACTTTTTGGTTATTTTTGTGTATTTCATACTTTAAGAATATTTTTTTACAATCCATTAATATTATGCAATCTGGATTAGTTCACAAGCTACTTCTAGTCTAAAACACTTGGCTGGAAATGGTGTTCCTTCACTGATCAAATAGTATCCAAAGTCAGCCAAAATTTTGGAATATGAAATGGTCACAAATTTTACATCACATTCCTGCCAGTAAGTATACAGTAATAAGCCTAAATGAAGGGATCCTTTTTCCTGTTTTGAATTTCAATTTGATGTAGAGAAGAATTTGGGATCAATATAATTTGCTGTTTCTTTCAAATATGTGTTCTCAGTTCCAAAGTTTGCATGAGAGAGAGAGAGAGAGAGAGAGAGAGAGAGAGAGAGAGAGAGAGAGAATACAGTGCCATAGGAAAGCAGCAAATTCTTACCCAAAAGGGGATTTAACTAAATTGTTCAGCTCTTCTTTTCTTACATTAATGAGAGAGCACCCTCTGGTGGCAGCCTATTTGCTTAATTTGACCTGGGTTATACATAATTCATGACAATAAAGAAGTGCCCCAAATGGTTGCCTTAGATGAATGGTTAACTGTAGCAACAGGGAGAATGGGGAGTCTTATTTCTGATCATTGTTTAATTTTCTTTCATGTTCCTGAAAACTTGTGAAGGAAAAATTTAAAAGTGATTTAATCTGTGGTTATAATTTAAGAACATGAAGAAACAACGTGCATTATTAAAGCCGATGTCTTACTGAGATGGTGAACCTATGCTGGAATTGTGTCACTTCAGAAGGCAGGCAAATGGATTTTTAAAAAATGAAATGCTTCTCCAAAGGTAGACAAAATCAGTATAAAAAATAGCATTTCAAGGTGCAACTCTTTGTCCTGTCATTTCATTTCTATGCGTGAAAGGTTGTTCTTTTTTTTTTTTATGCTTTTGTCTTCTGAAGCACTCAGTCATACGTTTAGAAATGGTACAATCTAGTCTTAGGAATGCAAAAACTGCAAGCTGTAGCCTCTGTGTAGCCTGCTAGAATGCCCTTTGCAACCTTAAAAATCATATCTCTGTTGTTTTATTTTTCAGAGGTTTAAGGCATGAACACCTAACACCTACCAGAATCACAGCTACTTTTAAGTCCTGAGGTAAATAATTTTGATATGTGGTACTTAGTGCTCTAGCAACCTGTTCTGCTGCACCCCTGGTGAGAACAGAAGATGAGCATTACTGGACTATATCTACTCTTGCAGTGTAATGCCCTTCAAACAAAGGAACCTAAATTCTTTGAAGACTGGAGAAAGTGGATCTAAGGCAGCACTTGCTTTATTCAACCTAAAGTAAGATGTCTAGACATTGTAAAATCCATTGGCGGGCAAGACCAAAGTGAAAAATGGGTGGACCAGAAACCATATTTCTTCCAAATCATTCAGTACATCTATACATGTATGACTACACATCCGATTCACAATATTGTGCATCCATACAACCACGCAGATACAGCTGTTTCATCTTTATCCCCCTCTCTTTCTTTCACTTTATCTCTTTCTTGGCTCCTCCCTCCCTCTCTCTCTCTCTCTCTCTCTTGCTCACTTTTTCGCCTTCCTTTCTTTCTCTCATCTATCATTCCTAGCAACCTTCTGCAAAATATAAAGTGTTCACCTTCTACTACAATAAATCCACTAAAGAAAAAAAACATATCCATACTGATGAAATCTTTTTCTCAAGCGAATGGCCACCCTTGGAGTGTCATTACCCAGGAAGGGTGATGTTAGATAGATGCAAATGCTATCTCAGTTGCATTGGTCACATGCTCAAAATTGCCTTCCTACATAATGTACATAAAAAAACAATAAAACAAATCCCTGTCTACTGGCTTGAAATATAAATGTGTAAGGAGAGTGGAAAGGAAGGCAAATTATTATTTTTCATATTAGCATAATAGACTGATTAACTGAGACTAAAGGTTCAGTATTTGATAAATTAGGATTCTAAATATTAGTATACTAATATACTATTAGTATTAGTATTCTAAGAGCACCCATTAGAATCACATTGCTTTTTTTATCTGCTGTAGTTTCCTAATTTCATAGTGCATAGTAGAAATATGAATTGTGCTGATGGATCTTAAATGCACCATGATACCCAAGAAGGAATTCCAAAGAAATTTATTTTTTGCCCTTTTCTCTCTCTCTCTCTCTCTCCATAGACTGTATAGTGAAATCAACTCTGGTAAACAATAGGTGACAGATGTTACAACTTCACATCCTAGGTGGAATAGCTGAACTGTTTTCTTTACTAGTTGTGCGTGTCTGTATACCACTTTGTAGTTTAAAGTGACTGAAGTTAATTAAAGATAGCTTAAAACAATTATTTCAAAACTGTCAGAACATAAAAGTGAGGATGGATGGATGGATGGATGGATGGATGGATGGATGGATGGATGGAAGGAAGGAAGGAAGGAAGATAATGTATAGATTTCAAATATCTTCTAATATATATCAAAGAAAGATATAAGGAGTGTTTACTATATTATAGATATATCCCAGTGTTCTTTTTGTTTAGTCAATTTTTTTATTTGTCCTCTAAAATTCTCATTAAACTATTGTGAATTCAGCTCAATAAATCTGCAGAATTGTCCAGATTATCTGTTGGAAAGATAATTTTGCTAATCTAAATGTTTTGGTAAATGAACAAGAGGTATTCTGGTATCCCAAACATCTTTGTGACATCTGTTTCTAGAAGACAATTCCCTCTGAGTGTGACAGTCCAGGTCACACATCTTTTGGAATTGATACTATTATATTAACATCTTTCCCCATCTCCATTTTGCAAGTAATTTAAATGCAATTTTGGTGCCAATCAGCAAGTTTCTTCCTCTTAATAGTTCAGTCCCAATTTTAAATAACAATATTTTGCTATTCTGATCAGAGATATTTAAACCTTAGATATCTTAACAGATGGAGAATTGTATGAGAGAAGTTATTGAATGTGAAGTAGTACCAGCTACCTTATTAGGATATAAAATTCTAAGCTTATTGAGAGGTGTAATTGCTACATTGAATTAGGCAAGGTCTTTCTGGGCCAGTGCTCTGTTTCTAATAGCAACTACCATTTTCATTTCCACTTTACAGAGACAGTGGGAATCACATTGGCCAAGGCATATCTGTATCTATTCCCTTAAACTCAGATCTAATCTGCAAATTTTCAAAGGTTTATCTGCAAACCAAAGAATTTTGTCTTAAAATGTACAACAGGAGATCAGGATTCATCCCTCATTCCTAATTTCAGTGAAAACTGAGGTAAAAATATGTAATAACAGTACAAAATTTCCACGAGGATTTCCCCCTATTCTTACAGGAATTACTAGATTCAGATGATAATCTAGTCTAATTAAAATTCATTAAATTACACTGTCATTGCAACTCCATGTTGGAACAGTGCAAATGCCACAGACCTAAGAGAGAAGATGAGAATAAAATTGTGTAGGGAATATTTCCAATGTTTGCCTTCTAGGACTGGAAGTAGAAAATCTAAAGGCTGGTTCTCAAGCAGCAGCCATAATCTAGTAAAAATTTTCGTTTAAAAGATAGCATTAGCTACTTAAATCCCTTTCAGTTGCACTTTTTTTCTTGGAATGTAATTTAGAAGTTTAGAAAAGATATGTTATTGTATGCAAACATACACTCCTTCGCCAATCACTTTCTTTCAGCCCTAGGTGGAAGACAAGGTTAAACTGCCAGCACAAGAACTTGACAGGCTGCAAAGAGAGTAGAGGAAAAGAGTTCTGTGAGACGACCAGCACAGGAGGAGTCCCACCCTACTAAACAAGCAACACTGGGATTGCTTCTATTAAATTGGAACAGCAAGCACAAGCTCTCTGATAACCACCAATTAACTCTCATTCCATGTGCCTTGATTCATGAATCTTGCAACTGTGAATTTGGAACCCAGACTGGTTGAGGATTCTACTACAGGCTCTGACCTTGGGATTCTATCTGATTACTCTCCTGCGTGCTGCTTTGATTTGGAATTCTTGTAAGCCAAGCTTGCTGACTTTGGGGAGGGGGGACAATATATCTCTATACTTCAAGTGTGTGTGTTTGCAAGCCTCATTTAGTAAAGAGACAGAGAAAAATCTCTATTTGTGTGTGTGCTTGACCTGGGAGAGAACATCATGAAATATCAGATTGATCGTTGACTCCCAAATATTTATTACGTGAAAATCATTTAATAAATATGCCTTTAGCTAATGGTACACTGAATAATATAGATCAGCAGATACGCAGCTTTAATTGCACAATCAAGGCAAAATCTCCAATTTAAGTTTAATCAGAAACATTTCTACCAACCCTTCAATGGAGAGACTGAAGTGAAGCAGTCAATACCTGACAAAGAAAAAACAATGCTGTTCTGGGTGGATAAGAAGAAAAAAGGAGCTGAAATGAACTAACTTGTAATAACAGCAGAAATAGTAGAGAAAAGGGCAAGGAAGATCAAGAAATGGGTAACACTAGATAATGATGAGCTTTATAGTCTTTGGTTGAAATGTCTGACTGGTCTATACTAACTAATCACCAAGCAGTTTACTCCAAGGAGGTGAAATTGAAGATTGGTTAATATCTGGCCAAACCTACCTGATAATGAAAGATTCAACAAAAGGGGCAACACCAGGCAACTACAAGTCAATTACCTGCTTAGCAACAAAACTTTCAAATTACTAATTAGTGTGATAGTTGATAAAGTCCAACTGCATCTAGTTGAAAACAAATTCTTTCCAACTGTGCATAAAGGAAACTGTCCAAACAGCAATGAACAAAACAAAAACAAAAAAACAGCTACTAATTGACAAGATGATTTTGGAAAACTGTAAGAGAAGGAAGACCGACTTGAACATAGCCTGGATTGATTAAAAGAAGACATTCAATTCCTTGCCACATTATTGGACAATCAAGTGCCTAGATATAACAGGAGTTAGTGGAAATAGTCCTACATGCAACCAAAATATTGCAATGGAGTTTCTGACAAATGTGCCACTCATAACATCAATAGGGGAAAATAGTGAAAACTATAAGATGCCCTATGGAAATAACATCAAGACTCTTGTCAAACAATGACAAAGAATCATATCTTTCATCCACACAGCAATATTGATAGACTCTACTTACCAAGGAGCATAGTTGGGTATGGAATGTTGCAGGCATATCAGACAGTTTAAGAAGAAGAAAAAAGCATTGGAAGAATATCTGAAGAACAGTGAAAGAGATGCACTGAAGTTATTTCACTATGAAGGGTTATTGAGTAGCAGAGAGATTAAAGTGGCCTACAGAAAAGATGATATCTTTAACACCTTTAGATAACAACATCTGCCTATTCCAGCTCTTTAAGAAAGACTTGATAGATGGATAAACATGCCAAATCCAATCTAAACATCTGGCTGACTATATGATGAACCATAAAACAATAATGATAACAATAGCATTGACCTCTTAAATAGTCCTACTCACACTTGGAAATCAATGCTGATCACATTGGAGAACCTGGTGTAGAGAATTAGAGGAGAAATTGATCCAATTCCTTTATTGACCCCACCCTTTAAAATCCACTGAATATAATAGCAGAGAAGTTTTAATTCATATCACAAATAGCCTCATCAGAAAACATTGTTCCATATGCCACCAAAATGTGAAAGTGGCTAACATTGTGCAAATATTTCCATATATGTTATTAATTTAGCATTAGGTAGTTCCATGCAGTTAATTTACTATTTCAAGTTCAAAAGCTGCAAAATCAGTATATGATAATAGAAGATACGCATATTGGGTCTGCTTTTCCACTATTTATTGTATCTCAAAACACTGTTTTTATAGCTATAAATATAAGCAGGTTCTGAAATGTTTGGCTATTGTCTGCTGCATCTCAGGAAATCTAAAATCCAATAAATTCTCCACTTCAGTTCAATCAATCTTTATTCTCTCTGTGCTCTCGTTTATCAATACAGTCTGCAGATTTGGCATTTCTTTCAGCTTGCCTTTCATTGCTTTACTTCTCCGAGCTTCTCTTGATTATGATTAGACACTAATTAGTTCATCAAGTGTTGCTATATTATGTATGTGTTTTCTTTGTAATGGGCTATCGCAACACTGCA